GGAGTGACGCTGGGGGCGGGGTGACGCTGGGGGCGGGGTGACGCTGGGGGCGGGGACGCTGACGCTGGGGGGCGGGGTGACGCTGTGGGCGGGGTGACGCTGGGGGCGGAGTGACGCTGGGGGCAGGGTGACGCTGGGGGCGGAGTGACGCTGTAGGCGGAGTGACGCTGTGGGCGGAGTGACGCTGGGGGCGGAGTGACGCTGTGGGCGGGGTGACGCTGGGGGCGGGGTGACGCTGGGAGCGGAGTGACGCTGGGGGCGGGGTGACGCTGGGGGCGGGGTGACGCTGGGGGCGGAGTGACGCTGTGGGCGGGGTGACGCTGGGGGCGGGGTGACGCTGGGGGCGGAGTGACGCTGTGGGCGGGGTGACGCTGGGGGCGGGGTGACGCTGGGGGCGGAGTGACGCTGGGAGCGGAGTGACGCTGGGGGCGGGGTGACGCTGTGGGCGGGGTGACGCTGGGGGCGGAGTGACTCAGGGCGCGGAGTCACGCTGTGGGCGGGGTGACGCTGTGGGCGGGGTGACGCTGGGGGCGGAGTGACGCTGGGGCAGGGTGACGCTGGGGGCGGAGTGACGCTGTGGGCGGAGTGACGCTGGGAGCGGAGTGACGCTGTGGGCGGAGTGACGCTGTGGGCGGGTGACGCTGGGGGCGGAGTAACGCTGTGGGCGGAGTGACGCTGTGGGCGGGGTGACGCTGGGGGCGGGGTGACGCTGGGGGCGGAGTGACGCTGTGGGCGGGGTGACGCTGGGGGCGGGGTGACGCTGGGGGCGGAGTGACGCTGGGAGCGGAGTGACGCTGGGGGCGGGGTGACGCTGTGGGCGGGGTGACGCTGGGGGCGGAGTGACGCTGGGAGCGGAGTGACGCTGTGGGCGGGGTGACGCTGTGGGCGGAGTGACGCTGGGGGCGGGGTGACGCTGGGGGCGGAGTGACGCTGTGGGCGGAGTGACGCTGTGGGCGGGGTGACGCTGGGGGCGGAGTGACGCTGTGGGCGGAGTGACGCTGTGGGCGGGGTGACGCTGGGGGCGGAGTGACGCTGGGGGCGGAGTGACGCTGGGGGCGGAGTGACGCTGGGAGCGGGGTGACGCTGGGAGTGGAGTGACGCTGGGAGCGGAGTGACGCTGGGGGCGGAGTGACGCTGGGGGCGGAGTGACGCTGGGAGCGGAGTGACGCTGTGGGCGGGGTGACGCTGTGGGCGGGGTGACGCTGGGGGCGGAGTGACGCTGGGGGCAGGGTGACGCTGGGGGCGGAGTGACGCTGTGGGCGGAGTGACGCTGGGAGCGGAGTGACGCTGTGGGCGGAGTGACGCTGTGGGCGGGGTGACGCTGGGGGCGGAGTGACGCTGTGGGCGGAGTGACGCTGTGGGCGGGGTGACGCTGGGGGCGGGGTGACGCTGGGGGCGGAGTGACGCTGTGGGCGGGGTGACGCTGGGGGCGGGGTGACGCTGGGGGCGGAGTGACGCTGGGTGCGGAGTGACGCTGGGGGCGGGGTGACGCTGTGGGCGGGGTGACGCTGGGGCGGAGTGACGCTGGGAGCGGAGTGACGCTGTGGGCGGGGTGACGCTGTGGGCGGAGTGACGCTGGGGCGGGGTGACGCTGGGGGCGGAGTGACGCTGTGGGCGGAGTGACGCTGTGGGCGGGGTGACGCTGGGGGCGGAGTGACGCTGTGGGCGGAGTGACGCTGTGGGCGGGGTGACGCTGGGGGCGGAGTGACGCTGGGGGCGGAGTGACGCTGGGGGCGGAGTGACGCTGGGAGCGGGGTGACGCTGGGAGTGGAGTGACGCTGGGAGCGGAGTGACGCTGGGAGCGGGGTGACGCTGGGAGCGGAGTGACGCTGTGGGCGGGGTGACGCTGTGGGCGGGGTGACGCTGTGGGCGGGGTGACGCTGGGGGCGGAGTGACGCTGTGGGTGGGGGTGACCTTGGGAGAGAAGGCAAGAGACACGGAGAACCTGGATGATAGCAATAGCCTAAGCTACCTTAATCCTTGTATCACATTATCTCCCTGAACTTAGGTGATGTTCAAGACGCACCTTAAAGAGCCCATCCTCGCATGCATTGCAATCTTCTGATTAAAGAACAAATCCACAGAAGCCGTGATAAGGGTTCGAACTTATGCTCTGGGTGTTCCTAGATGCCTCGAACCCTCTAGTCATAAGGGTTCGAACCCTCATGACGGCTCCTGTGGATTTCTTCACGGATATATCGCAGTAACGTGATTTTCTCTGAATCTTCTGATTGGTCTGATGTTCACACCTACACTTAAAGTCACACACGAATGCATTCACTTTATCAGAGGCCACTTAAACTTGGCCACAAGTATAAACTTGATAGTTAGGAAATGCAACTTATGAATGGGTGATGTATATAATGGAGTAGCAGATCTACAGGATATAATCGAACTCTAGTCAGCTTAGAGAGCGGGATGCTTCCAGCTGGATACTTGCATATTATTAAGGCATTACTGTCACAAGGAGATGTCTTGCAGACAACCATTTTAAATCCTATTGAAATCAGCTTTGTTACATGAGCTGTGTGTTCAGAAGGGTTTTGATTCAAGCTGGGCGCCTAAATATGTTCATGTACAAATGCTGAGGGTGTGCAAGTTTCTATGATTTCATGGTATAAAATACCATGAAATAGTTTAGATAGCGAATATAACATATTTTATATTAGTTATCTTTCGAGCTGTTTTTTCATCAATTCAAATTTTTAAGATGCATGTTTTGCCATTATGTCTCAACGCTTTAATTATAAATTAATTTTTTGCGGCTGTACACCTGTTCACTCCAGCCACAACTTAAAGTTTTATAAATCACTTAAAAATAAAACTTCAAAATCAAAATCCAGATAGAGCTAAACCGGAATACCCAGTGATAATGAGAAACAAGAGACGAATTGTTGCGTATAAGTATGTGGCGAGGCTGGGTTATGGGCATGTGGCGAGGCTGGGTTATGGGTATGTGGCGAGGCTGGGTTATGGGTATGTGGCGAGGCTGGGTTATGGGTATGTGGCGAGGCTGGGTTATGGGTATGTGGCGAGGCTGGGTTATGGGCATGTGGCGAGGCTGGGTTATGGGCATGTGGCGAGGCTGGGTTATGGGTATGTGGCGAGGATAAGTTATGGGTATGTGGCGAGACTGGGTTACGGGTATGTGGCGAGGCTGGGTTATGGGTATGTGGCGAGGCTGGGTTATGGGTATGTGGCGAGGCTAAGTTATGGGTATGTGGCGAGGCTAAGTTATGGGTATATGGTGAGGCTGGATTATGGGTATATGGCGAGGCTGGGTTATGGGTATGTGGCGAGGCTGGGTTATGGGTATGTGGCGAGGCTAAGTTATGGGTATGTGGCGAGGCTAAGTTATGGGTATATGGTGAGGCTGGATTATGGGTATATGGCGAGACTGGGTTAGGAGTATGTGGCGAGGCTGGGTTATCGGTATGTGGCGAGGTTGGGTTATGGGTATGTGGCGAGGCTGGGTTAGAAGGGCAGGAGAAGCATGAAAAACAATGTGGAGGTGTAGATGAGAAAACCAGTGAAGGAGGAGGAGGAGGAGGAGGAGAAGGGAATGGTTAGAGAGATGGGTGAGCTAGCAATGGAAACTAAGCCTCAAACTACATAAATACTAACCAAAACTTCTAAACCTTCCCCTCAATAAACAAAAATAAATCAATAAATAACAAAATGAAAATTTACCCTTAAATAAAACCTAACATGTATCAAGGCATCTGAGAGTAACACACAGAGATCCCACTAACGCGATGCAACAAATGAACAAATCCACAAGGGCCGTGACGAGGATTCGAACCTGCGTCCGGGAGCATCCCAGACACTGCCTTAATCGACTGAGCTATGACAGGGTTAAAAGAGCTGGGATGCTTCCGGACGCAGGTTCGAATCCTCGTCACGGCCCTTGTGGATTTGTTCACCTGAGAGTATATATGTGAACGCTACAAAACATTTATCTATCGATACCCCATATATGCTAAAATACCAACCCATCTCCCTGTTTAGTACTTTCTGTAACCATGTAAGTCGTACATATATTAAGATAATGGACAATTATATTCCTAGTATAGCACATATATGTACTATATTAGGCCTCAGATAGCGTGTATAAGGCTTGGTCCTATTAACCTGATAACTCTGACCTGGTCCACCACTCTAAGTCATGCAGTTACACTAACTTATGATGCTCCTATTTTGCACAGAATACCTATCACCTGAAATGATGAACACGATTTTTTCTTAAAATTAACACACAAGAAAAAAATATAACTCCACTGCAGTCTTAGCAATGTGGGGGGAAAAGCGAAAACCTCACCTTAGTTAACTAAGGTGAGTTTGGAATTCTAAGTCACTAGAGGAGTAGGCATGAAAAGGTTTTACCTTAGCACTCTTCCTTTGAGAGTTGACAGTATTGTTATACACGCCCAGATAATAATTGTCTGTTATGCTGTGTGTGTGTTTTTGCCTTCTGCCTGAGGCACACCGCACCAGGAGTCGGGGGCCTGGCGAGGCTCAGAAGGTAAGGCTCGTTATTCTTAACGCACTTAGCACGTTATTGCAGTCTCTTCGGTTTCCCCTATAACACGGTGGAGATCAGAGAGTTTCAAGTCCCTCAAAGTTACCAGTTTGAGTTGGTGGCCCAATAAGTTCCCAGAAAGTTCTTATAGTGGCTTAAATAACCCTTCCAACGTCGATAAGCCCAAAAGCAAATCAATAACCGGGCCCGAGCAACACCCGCCCAGTATCCTGCAGACCTGAACAACACTGAACATGTGCAAACTGGATTGGGTATCAGTTTGCTGCCTTCGTTGTCCTTGTAAACGTGCGTGGACTTCAATTTGTGTTTTCTCTTGTTAATTACCTTAAACTTATTTTTCTTTAAAGCACATCGTGGTCCATTGGGTAATGCGTGGGTCTGGGGGGTGACCTAAGATGCTGGGTCGTTCCGCCGCCCAGCTTCAAAGAATTTCTCAACACTTAATTTTCTCTTGCGGCAGGTGTGTGCGAGCGTGCTGACGGTCGGGTACGGGGCGGTGGCGGTGACCCTGGAGGAACACGTCACCGCCTGCAGGCAAGGTCACGCCCGCGACCTGCTGGGGCTCCTGCCCTCCTGTCATGACCTCTCCGACACCGCTACGCTGCTGGCAGGTCAGTTGGGCCAGCTGGGAGGGGAATGTATGGGAGTCAGTAGCACGAGGAAGAGGAGTCTGGTGGATAAGGAAGTGAGAGAAGGTGTAGATGAGAATAGACTGAATGGGAGAAGAGAGAGAGTGGGAATGCTTAAGGGGGGTAATAACGGGAGGCTGATGCTATAATGTCGGATACACAAATGCAAAAACCCCCAGTAAGAATAAAAAAAGTCTGACCACTTTCGTGTTCTTCAACACACCCTCGAAGACCGACCGTGAAACATTAAAGCAGATTAGTAGATATATATACACGTTATTTAATATTTCACCGTGTCTCTGAAGTTGTATTAAAGAACACAATAACACTCGGCTATTTTCTTAATGTGTGTGTGTGTGTTATCTTTTGAAAGATTTTCCCAAGGAACACCACGAGGAGATAGCAGTAAAACATGCTCACTAAGTCAAATAATGCTAGATCATCATTTCCTCTCTTCTTAGTGAAGTTTGTGAAGAAACCCACAAACAAAATTGTCTCTTGGGTCTATTGACTTAACTCTCTGTGTTCCCCTCTATGAGAATCTGTAAACTTTGTTATTGCTAATTGGCCAAAATATCACTGACCATCATGCCCCATACAATTCTTACTGGACGTGTTTGGCATTGCCTGTATCCCCATAATCAGTAACAGGTTCCGATCTTCCCCACAGCTCGAATCTTCGTATACATCCAGGTGAGCGTGTGGGTGCTCTTCCTCGGCTTCTCCATCCTCCTGATTGTTGGTGCCGTCAAGGTAAGACAAACATGAACGCAGTGTTTGCCCTCGGCTAACAGAACATAGAGAAGCCAAGCACGGGCTTCCAGCTCTGACAGGATCTATACAAACCCAATAATGCACAGCATGCACTTTGTGGTATACCTCACTGGCTACCCAAACCCAATAATAGACAACATACAACATGCACTTCTCGACACATAACCACACTGGCTACCTTAATAAATGTGTAATAGATAGCCTACATCTATGGAGAACATTACAATGTACACCTTTGATCAAGTAATGTGTTTACAGATGCACCAACAACTCTTTATGTTCCACAAAGTGGTTATTTTGTAGGCAATATGGTGGCCAAATGTAATGATTGTCCAGATCATTAAAAATAGGGTTTCATTCATTCTTTTTGCAATCAATTCTCTTCTTTTTCTTGACAAATAGAGGGCAAAGCTTGATTTCAATCAATTACATTTATTAAAATATTGCCTTTAAAACAGGCTGCATTAATTTCTGTTACACCGTTCTAGTCTACTTTGTCTCCGTTGTACCGGATTATTTAATTTAGATTTATTCATAAATTTATTTCGCAGAAGATTTAGTCGTAACATTTTCTTCTTGCATACGACTTATAACTCCTGGTGGACGTCATGTGTACGTGTACACATAAGAAATGGTGACGCACTATCTTGTAACTACAAACACAATGATCCAGCACCACGCGTGAAGACGGCATATGAAGCATAACAATTGTTCCTTATCGAGTTTACAGGCGCAGACGTAATCACCCTCACTGCCAGGTTAAAACCGTTGGATAGTGTGTTGAGGAATTAATGGTAATGTTTACACGACAGAAGCCAAATGTTATGAGTGTATCTATTGCATGTTTATCTTGCAGCCCTTAGTGGAGTGTACTACAAATATACTCTTTTTTGGTTGGACAGGAGCGCGGAGGGCTGCTGGTGCCGTGGTTGGTGCTGTCTGTGGTGGTGATGGCGGCGGTGGTGTGGTCGGGCGTCCGAGCCGCCCTCCAGCACCGCACTCTCGACCTCCTCGCTTCTGTTCTGGCCGTCGCCGTCTGCACCTACTGCTGCCTCGTCGTCCGCTCCTACTCCAGACTCATCAAGAAGGAAGCTCTAATCCCCGTGCTCGTGCCTTCAACATTCACGCACACCCGCATGCTCTGTGAGAACCCCTACGCCCACACGGGGGAGAGGCGGGAGCTGCCGCCTGCATACACAGCGTACCCCCGCCCACCCACACCCGACAAGAAGGGCCCCCCGCCCACTGGCCTGGGTTTCAAGATATGATGACATGGCACAGTTGTTCATGAAGCCAAGAACAATAACATTAACGCATGGAATAATAATTCGATACTGTTATAAAACATCACTTTTGAACATTTTCACAATGAACATATTGGATTATTTTTTTGTTTTAAAACTAATAGGAAACAGCATTAAAAGCTCTGAAAGTTTGAATGATATTTTTTGCTTTTATATAGTAATCTAGCTATAGATGAATTATCAGGCTTTTCACATGGGATAATACTGAATGCGTCTTATCGTATCCTGGTAGGACAGGAGAGGACAAGGGTAAATGCCATTGTAAGTAGCGATAAGACATAACTTGTAGATACCCAACCCACATACCTGAAAATATAGACGTGGCGACGTTTTGGTCCTCCTTTCTAATGGTCCAAGACGGTGTTGGGATCGAACTTCCTGCTGTGGAGCAGCAACCAACACATGCGTACTAGTAGAGATACCATTTATGTACCAACGAGGTCTTATTTCATATATTTTATGTCAGGAGTCAGTCAGCCAGCCCCCAGCCTGGCCCATCGTCGGGTGCGACACAAGTTCAAGTTCAAGTATGTTTATTGAGACAAGAAAGAGATAAATCTCAAAGGGGATAGAGTAGCTTAGGCTATTTCTACCCCCTAAGGATGCGACACATTATAAGGCTGGGCCCTGACCTTGACCAAGATCTAGAAATCTTTGGGAAAAATGAACCAAGGCAACTACCTCGTCTGTATTATCCAAAGACAAATATAGTATTATCCAAAGACAAATATATATTCCAACGGCATGTGCAACATATACACATGTTAATTCACTATACATGTCAATCCATTGCCGTCACTAGGCAGTAGGTCTTCTATGACGTATCAATAAAGACTTAACATTTCATATTTTTGCACTATTTCACGGTCTACAAAATTTCAGGAAACTTCCTCAGGCGCCTCCGTGAACGCCGGAGGAAACTCTCAAACGCCTAGTGCGTCGAGTCAACAAACTGTATTCCGGAGTGGAGCACTGCTTAGGTCGATTATGTCGTGAACTGCCAGCCGTCGATGGAGAGAGTGGAGCACTGCTTATGCCCAAATTTATCTGTGCACTTATTGTCTCGGTCGGCGACTCTGATTGGCTACCAGAATTCTAGCCACCAGACGAGCAGTGCTGGTCCAAACAACACCCGCGGCTGTTGTCCTGACTCCTTCTGTAATAGTTTAATACACTATAATTTTAAATCACAATTTTAATCTTAACTTGGTGCGACGAATTAACACGTCCTGATACTTCTCCCTAACAACGGACCGAAACGTCGTCGCTTCCTTTATTTTCAGATGAGTGGGTTGGGTTTAGCTACGTTTTTGTGTCTTGCTGTCTGCACATGCATTGTGCTGTGGAGCAGCGCAGGAGAAATTTACGAAGCCCGTCAGTGGAGTGTCTTGTGCTATAGCGAGACGCAAGAGAGGGCCTTGTGCCAGACAGCAAGACACAATAACGTTTTGCATACAGCAAAGCCAAGATAATTATAAATCAGCAACACCTGCAGGAGCGTATGACCCAATCTGGTCTTGCAACTACAATGTAAATTCACGGGCCACACTGAGTAGAGGTAGACAGAGGGCCACACTGAGTAGAGGTAGACGGAGGGCCACACTGAGTAGAGGTAGATGGAGGGGAAGTTGCAAGCGTGTCTGAGAAAGTTGATAGGGTACAGACGCTACAGATGTGAGCAGTGTAGACTCCACCGGTTGTGTGAGCGGCACAGGTACAATGTATTCAGCAGATCTCATAATCATAATAAAATTTTCATTTGACTGCAAAAAGTACAATAAATCTTGAAGCACATTGGGTTAAAGTGACAGATATTCGTGCCTGCTACACTCCCGTGTCCCAGCACACACTCCTGGCTGGCGTTAAGTGAAGTACACTACAATATTGGGTTACGCTGGTGTTGCTACAAGGAGAGACGAAGCTGTAGTAAGGACTTAATCAAGTCTGAACGTGGCTAGCAGAGTAGTTTTGACATAGTTAGTGTTGGAACATTTAGTCACTGTGGACTTCATAAAATATATACACTGTCTCATTTGACAAGTTGGTTCTGTCTCTATTGTAGTCGTACGCCGTTGACAGTAGGTCTTAGTGTGAGACCTGTCGCCTGCATTGTTTGATGAAATGCAGTGTTGTTTTGAAAGGAATGTCACGTTAAAATATATTATATATATTTTTATATATTTTATAAATAGTTTGTCAGTAGACAGTACGTATATGATTAACAAAAGAAGGTCCCAAGTCGGGAAGACTTTTTAGCATTAGTAGACAGTAAATGATTGCCATGATCCGAATGCACTCAGTTGTGAACTCAACATATGTAGCGATTGGTCTATTTTCATAAGATTTCAATTTTATTCATATCTTACAGCCAGTTCCGCCTCTCTCTTGACACTCATGACGAGGACCTTTATTACCATACAAGATCCTCGTCGTGAACCCTTAAGTGCCTATCTACGAAACCTGTACATCTTTCTATATATCATAGCAGCTTAATTTGCATTTCTGAAACGGTTTATGAGCTCCGAAGCCCTACGAGGCTGTCTATAACAATAATAACCTTGGATTACGAAGTTTCAAAGCTCCAGACTGTTTAATACATACAGATTAAGCTGCCATGGTTGAGGAAAGATATTGAGAGGTCGTAAGTGGACATTTAAATGCTTCATAAATCCTGGTTATGTTAAGCTTCTTTGCGGAAGGATGGTAACAATGGAGTCCCCAATTTACCAAGCGAGCCTCGACTCCATAACCACTCGACGAGGTTATCGAACACTGAAGTTATCGAACGATAACGAGGTTATCGAACAACTCTTTCCCACTCAAGAGTTGCAGACACACCGAAGAGAATGAACCGGGATGAGATTGTATATATTTTTAATAAAACATATATTCATACAGTCTCTTGTTTCCCATTTCCACTTTCCCATTAAAGTGGCAGCCTAAAACAATCCTTTAGACAGCAAATGGGAAGACGCCGACAGGGGTCAAGAAATAGAAAGAAGAAAGTCTCCACGCTCCCCCTGAAGCTTGCAGGAGAAGCCCGCCGCTACGTTTTAATAGCATAGTAGACCTCCGGATCTCAGTCACTCCAGATGACCCTGAGGGTCGAGGGCTGACTGTGTGACGCTTTCACTCACACAAGCTCACATTACCACTGTTGCCCCCACCCCCCCCCACTCGGGGTATACTGCCTGGCAGTGTGCCTGGCGTCTCTTGTGTATACTGTGGTGGGATGTCTCAGCCCTTATGTGGATATGCACGGGGGTATACTTTAGAGTTTATTATTGGGAGTGTAGATATTTGACTGTCTTGATGTTGCTGCATTTTATATGTGATAATGAATGTGTGTGTGTGTGTGTGTGTGTGTGTGTGTGTGTGTGTGTGTGTGTGTGTGTGTGTGTGTGTGTGTGTGTGTGTGTTTGTTTGTTTGTTTGTTTGTTTTGGCTCAGACTGAAGGAGTATGTAATTACTTGCACAGAAGAAGCAAAATCAAAACAGTGTAATTTGATAATTATAATAAGCTCTAGACCCTAGGAAAGGCGCTGAAAGCTACCAGATATCCAACACATGGCAAGATAATGTGACCCTTAACCCCACAACTTCCATTAACGGTCACCACCGCGAAATAACAATCAATTCACACACCGACAAGAGCACTTAACCTCTGACCTCCCAAGGTCAACGGGAACCTTCCCTAATTTGCACACATCACATATTTTAAATCTTAAAAACCAAGATATTCTCGAGATTCCGCCCGGAAACGAGTGGCTAAAATACAAACAGAGTGATATTATAAAGTAAAAATAATAATATTATTAATAATAATAAAATGCAATAGCAAGATCGCTGTTAAGCAAATACTGAATAGGTTGCTTATACTGACGTCAGGCCGCCACGTGTTGAATGTAAGCGCTACTACAGTGGGTATCACGTTGACTTGGTTCCTTATTAACTTTACAGCATCAGATGTTAGACAAAAAAGTTGACGTAAATTTTAAAATGTTATTTTAAAAAATTGGAGAAACTACGTAGGTTTAGATAACAAGGATGTTGTATATTATGAGTAGCCTCTTAAAAATGCTTCTCAATACTATATATATATATATATATATATATATATATATATATATATATATATATATATATATATATATATATATATATATATATATACATATATATATATACATATATATATATATATATATATATATATATATATATATATATATATATATATATATATATATATATATATATATATATATGTCGTACCTAGTAGCCAGAACGCACTTTTCGGCCAACTATGCAAGGCCCGATTTGCCTAATAAGCCAAGTTTCCCTGAATTAATATATTTTCTCTAATTTTTTTCTTATGAAATGATAAAGCTACCCATTTCATTATGTATGAGGTCAATTTTTTTTATTGTAGTTAAAATTAACGTAGATATATGACCGAACCTAACCAACCCTACCTAACCTAACCTAACCTATCTTTATAGGTTAGGTTAGGTTAGGTAGCCTAAAAAGTTAGGTTAGGTAGGTTAGGTTGCCGAAAAACAATTAATTCATGAAAACTTGGCTTATTAGGCAAATTGGGCCTTGCATAGTATGCTGAGAAGGACGTTCTGGCTACTAGGTACGACATATATATATATATATATATATATATATATATATATATATATATATATATATATATATATATATATATATATATATATAGACCCTCGACCTCGAAGAAGACGATATGTAGCATCCGGAAGAGCCTTGAGAGGCACCCATATACACTATACATTGCCTTTTCATACCATCCCCTATATTTTTTATATTTTGTCAATTTACTTTATTTAAAACTTAATTACACAAAAAGGATTACAACATCGGTTACATGCAAGGTACAAGGCTAGTTATCATAAGTTTATATATGTATATATATTTCTACATATTTTTACCAATATTGTGTAGAAATTTAATTTAATTTGAACTTATGCTAATACTAAATAGATGTAATAAGAAATACATAATATCTGGAAAATGTTTACTTGAATATGTACCATTTGACAGCTCTGGCCCTGATTTTAACACAGAGATAACCTTTGCATAACCAGAGATAGACAATGACCATACCGGGTCCGGGAGACCGGGCCGCGGGGCTGTTGATCCTCGGAAGCCACACGTACAAGATCGACCCTTCTAGTGCTAGAAGGACATTATACCTGTCCTTGTTATGTATAACAGTGTTGTTACCTACTAGTCGCTTCTGGACATGCTTTGAAAATATGTGAAGAAACTTCCTCACCGGATGCTTTACGACACGCCAGTTGATAATAACATGAAGATCAATTTCTCAAGAACAGTTGCTATGGACTACTTTCTCAGAACATCAAGATGTGTTACAAGAACTAATGTCCCCAGGAAACTTCGTGACGTGCCAACTGAGATTACTTTTCTCAGGACACTTTAAGACGTGCCAACTGGGACTACTTCTTCAGAACACCTCAAGAATTCTTTTATTTCTCAAGGAGGTACCAGAGAGGACTACTACTACAGTAGAGGGGTTCAGGACGCGAGGAGACGGACGCCGCTAAGGAGGCAGACGTGGCTGGTGATGGAGGCAGAGAGGGGCATGTGGACCCAGAAGAGCGGCGGAGCCATCGGGTCCTCGCTCATGTGTACCGGAGTCCGGTGTACTGCGAATCATCATAAATTTGTGTACATTAGTGGGAGACCGACAACCAGAGCCCAACACCATAGTCTCCTGAGACTGATGGATGCCTACTACTAGTGGGAGGTGATAAATGTTTCATTGTGGAACCTCATTAATGTTACATAGCTATTTTGGCCAATTCATATATCCGTATCTACAGGGATATTGACGCTGGAAGAGTGTTCTTTATATGCTAGAGTGACTGTGAGCTCTTTCTCCTGTTCAGTGTTGGTAGGAGTCGTGTTTCTGTCGCTAATGTCTTTCGGAACTCGTTTTCAACTAGTCACAAAACGGAGGAAAGAAATTCCTTGAGTAGACATTACTAGAACTGACGGTGTCTGCCATGCTGACCTCCTTATCAGTGGTACAATGTTGGTTTCCCTTTCTTTTGAAGATCTCTTGCACATAACCATTAGAGTATTCATTATTGAGGAGGACCTGTCTCGCGCTGCTGAGCTCCTCGTCAACCTGTTTTAAACTGGAGCTGTGTAAAAATGCGCAGTAGACGTCAGCATCAGCATCACTTTCGCTTGTATGGGTCAGGGTGCTCACTACTAAGATTAAGGTTACATTCCTAAGTTAGTTCCCTAATTATAACCACTATACCTTTCCGAAACTGTTATACCCAAGAAAAGAGGCTTGTCTTCACAGTTTCGGAAATAAATAGTGGCCTTTACACTTCAGTCCATAACAAGAAAATTAACGTAGGAATGCGCCGTAATGGTGCATTAATAATATACGCACCATTAGTAGGTGCCCTGATAGGTACAAACTGGTGATGTTGAAGCCTTCGTGTACTGTGCACCTCTATACAGCTCCAGTTGGAAGAAGGTTGACAAGGAACTCAGTAATGAAGAAGCTGCTTGTCAACAATAGATACTCTATTGGTTATATGGAAGAGGTCGTATCACAAGGAAAATAACCCGCCGTGCTACTGCTGATGTGTGCAACATTACAGAATCTATTAAATTCGAGTACAGGAACTTCTTTTGTCACGACTAACAAGACGGAGGAGAGACATAGTCGACAGAAACGTGACTCCTATCAATACTAAGCCTAAGATACAGCTCACAATATACTACAGGAGCAAGAAGACCACCAACTTGCCAATGAAGAGCTCTTCCCAACAACAAACCAAACGCCTTGAAAAGATACAAATCTTGAATTTGTCTTAACATGCCCACTTGGCGACTGTCAACTACAACGATCTCAATATATAGGCAAGACAACAATATCTCTTTCAAAGTGCCTGGCAATGCAAAAACAGCAAGGCTTTATCAAAGTTCACGTAACTTCTAAACATAATCACACTATTACCGGAGATATCCTGATCAGCTACTCTGATATAATGCACAGATAGAGTGACAGTAGAAGATTAGACATATCTGAAGTACTTCATATACAGCACTTTCATCCACTTATCAACAACTAGCTTACACCTAGGTACATCATAACATCTGCATGACCAGGGCAGAACTACCATTTTAATACATACCTACTGCCCTAACCGACCAATGAGAGTGCAGGGAAGAATTACCCAATCCTTCCAACAGTGTAGTCACCTTACTTCTCATAACTTTATGTAGTATACACTGCTGCTTCAGCCCATCTGTATTTACGTGCTCACTATAGCCCGTGCTACTTGACAATTTTGTTCCAAGCAGCTGAATCTAAAACAACATCATCATCTATATTCACTTTCTCTCTGCCTCCGAAGATGCCAAGATGCAATTTAGCGGAATACGCCTTTTAGCAACAGGTGTGAGACTAATTAAATGTGTAAAATAAACTTTGAAGAAATTATTTTATAATTTCCTTCCCAGCTGAAAAAGAACATAAGCAACACAGAAAAGATTCGGCCTAGAATCACTAATCTCTTTCGGTCATATTCAGTAACATATCTACAAGAATAACTACTTTTAAAATATATAAACCTGCTCTGCATGCAAGAAGCTCGAAGAAATCTATGGCCTCTGAAGAATGCATCTTTTTTGTACTTACTTTTTGGTAACCAAATCAATGTTACCAATGGTAACCAATCAATGTTACCATTGACCAGTTCTGGTCTCAGTTACGTGTTTGTTGTTTAACCAGACCAGAAGAGAAGGGAATTAACAGGAGAAAATGCCAGAGTTTATGGTCTTTTTCAAAGCTGGTGCAGATCTGGACGAGCAATGGGGTAACAGACAAGCAAACCAAATCAACTTCTACAACTGGAGATAACAAAATTAAACCTGAGCTTAGAGTGTCTGCGGGAGTCTCTTACCTCTGCTTGATTTCCGCAACATCTTTTTGACCCGTGGTGTGCACTGCATGATGCTTAGGTCGAGAGTGGTGGAGGCTGGCAAGCTGGACCCTAGCGTCTCCGTCATCACCTCTTCGGATGTGGGGTCCCATAGTGCTCCGAGAAGCACCAACTTCTCCAGCACCAGCGTGGTGCTCTCGTCCTCCTCACTCACGGCTTTACCTTCTGCTTCGCCTCCTTTAGCAGCCAGACCAGCGCACAGAGTTTTGGTGGCCACGACCACCTCTAGTCCAACCGCGCAGATCTCACCCCAGCAGCTGCGGGTGACTGCCGCCCACATTGCTGCAGGTTCCCACAGCAATCCCAGTCGAATGGTCCGTGGCTGCTCAGCTCGATTCACCATGTCATAAAGAAAGTTACCTCTTGCCTTCAGCCGGTCTAATTTTGCTTCAATCTTCTGCAGATCATCACCTTCACACGTTACGTCTAAGTCCGGAACGCTACCCTCAAGGGCCTCCAAGAGGGAATTTGAGTCATTGCAAACCTTTAGTTTTATTGATGTGTTTTCTGAAGTTTTAATATACTCGTCAATCTCCTGCTTTATGATTGATTGAAGAGACCCTTGGACTTGTAATTTTTGTATTTTCTTAAATTTCTTAGTATTAAAACCTTTTAACCAATCAATTTCTTTAACAGAGTGGCTTAATGTTGGGGTTTCGTGGATGGTTCGTAGAGCAATATTAATATCTCGAGCCTCGTCTCTCTGGTTCTTTAGGATGACCATCGGTGCGACGCCGGTCAAGGAGACAGCTTGAGCCAGGTAGATGAATTCCATCTGAGTCACGTGGTCCACCAGCGAGGTGGTTTTGGGCACAGTAAAGTGGGTGAGAGCAGAGACTCTCCCTGGGACATTCTGTATAGCTTCAGGAGAGACATAGACGTGCAGGAGCTGGGCGAGAACATTGTGACTTTCCTCAGTCAGTGCCCCAGAGACATAGATATCAGTGAGCTGGGCCGTAAGGGTCGGGAGGATGCTGCTGTTTGGAGGGAGACTCCCGGCCACCAGAGTCCTCAGTACATTCTCTGCCTCCTCCCACTGAGCATCCCCGAGGATCTGTGCAACAGGAGTACTGTTGTTTTCTAGAGTCTGTCGCGTCACAAATGCTATATGGAACAGGGCGAGACTGAGCAGGCACCATTTGCTCCACTCATTGCTGTAGACTGACAAGCGACTCTCTCCGACAAGTTCATACAAATGATGCAGGTATTCCTTGATTGTTGATGGTAAACATAAATAGACCTTATGGCAGGAAGTCATTAAGCTGCTTGGCAACTCATCATCGCTGTTAAAGTACATCCAAACCTGAAATCGTTTATGCGCTGTTTTAATCAAGTCATCTCTAAGAAGTTCTTTTAGGTAGTTAATGCATGAGGCAGCAGCCGTGCTCTTTTTCAGAAGCATCCAGTAACCCTTCTGAGCAGAATGGTGCAGGCGCACACTGAGGCTCCGCTCCCTGCCCTGACCCAGAGCCAACACGTCCAGGGACTCGGGATAAGATGACAGGATAGGGTGGCAGAGGGGCTGAACTTGCTGCAGAATGTATTCTATATCCAGCGGCTCCGAGCTGTAGACGATGATGGGCTCTGAGGCAGTGCCTTTACTTGCCGCGGAGAGTAGAGCCTTGGCTGTGGCTTCGCTAGCCTCTTGTTTCAGAACTCGCTGAACGTATAGCATGGCTGCTTCATCCAGGCGATCTGATCTTAGGCAGTTAATAAGAATTAGTTTAGCTATGCCTCGTATTTTTCTCTCCATTTTTTTTGGAAGTGCTCCTGCCTCGGGCTGTTCCGTGATATACCACACACGCCACAAATGTTTATAGGTCAGCATATGGTCCGGCAGTTCACAGAATGGTTCAACGGTTGACAGAGCCAACACCTGGGCCCACTGTCGTTCTGTGAGCCAATTGGGACGCGAAGCTCTGGCTGGATTAGTCTGCAAGGGCTGTAGGCTCATAATGTTGGACTCTGAGTTGAGGAGAGGTCTGAGGTCTAATGGGCAGTACGGAGGGCCGACCTGCGTTAGCAAAGGAGTGTAAAGGAGAGAACAGAACTGAGGAGTCAGGAGGCCGAGGTGACGCTCGTACCACATGGCCAGAAGGAGTCCCACAGTCACCAAGGAGATCCGGCTCACTTGCTCCTGCAAGTGTCTGAGAGCAGAGAAGACACATTTGTAGAGGTTATTCTGAATATAGTATTTGCAGTGCTGCTGTAAAGGGTTGTTTATAACGTAACACATCATGTTCATAACGCGATGCTTCAATGAGAAAATAAACTTTGCTTTCAATAATATGGATAAAGGAAGAATCCCAAACAAGTTAGTCCATAGAATTTAAATTTAGCCTTTCTGTAATATCTTCGCTTATTTATCTGCTGATATCAGCGAATATATTTATAATTTTTTTTTGCTATTTAACTTCATACTACTTTACATAAAGAATACATTATATGATATATTAATTATTAAAAAAACACAAAATTCAAATAAAATACTTAGATACAATTAAAATCTATGTCTGTAAAAAGTCATAATGTGAGATAAACTCAAGGTATGAGTTATTCACTCAAGACTGTTTTATGACGTGACTCACCGAGTTTGTCGTGCTATATTACTGTGACTGTCGAGGTTACTAACCGGTAGAGTGACTGGAGCATCTTGATGACGGTGTTACTGTCCAACATCCTCCCCCAGGGCGGTGCAAGGCTCTGAGACTGCATATCGCCTAAGATGAGGATGCTGAAGCGGTTTATCCCTATCGTGAGGGAAGGCTGCAAGCGGGAAAAGCGCTCCACCATCAGATAAAGTCGCGTCATCAACTCTGCAATTTTCCTGTATGCGTTAGTCCCTTCCTTGGCTGAATCCAGAGTTTTGCGGAGGTCGTGGCATTTCTTCTTAGCTTCGGCCGCCTTTGCGCACGCCGTCTGCAGCATCTCCATGAGAGTACTCTCCTCTAGAACGTCATCATCAAAGCGGGACATAAGATTCCTTATTGCCTCTTCTTGTTCAGCGAGCTGCTTTTGTCGGTCCAGTAAGTCCCATTCGGTTTTCTTCAGCATCTCAGTCAAGTCCGGCTGACAGTGGGAGGCGACCCGAGCCGTCAGGAGCATTTCCAGACCTTCTTGCTGACTCTCCATATTCACTACACTGACCAGAGTTCTAATATTGTTGCTGATGCGAGTTTCTCTCTGTTTTAATAGTATTATAAGCTTAAAGCTCTCGTGGATTTGCATCTTCTTTTCTCCGACTTTTATGAACGTTTTGTTGGTGTCATCATCTGACCTTATTGGCTCCATTTCAAGAATTTGAAGGATATGTATTGGAAGTGATAGTTCTTCTTGTATTATTACACAAGTCATTCCTTTATTCATAATATCCTCAATTTCGTCTATGTAATCACTCTTGTTAAGGTCAACTTCCACTGAGTCCTTCCATTTGCAGATCCACTGGTCAAGTATGCTGTGTGGATCAAGGACCAGTTGCGAAAGGCTAGAGTTACAAATGACTGCAGCATTTTCGAGGGAAAATGCATCTATAGGCAGACCTTCCTCATGCCATCTAACCTGTGACTCCAAAGGAGCTAAAATGTCCAGAACGTTTCTTTCTTTAGTGTAAAATATGCACAATTCGTCCATTTTCTCTTGCCATTTTTTAAGGATAATTTGTCGCTCATAATATGTAAATCCTCCAATATAAGTCACAAAAGCTGAAGCCAAGACGGCATCACCAAAGATGTTGCGAAGGTTTACGCTGGAGTGAGAGAGAGCTTCTTCCCAGTGTATCTTATTCTCGCCCAACTGTGCCATCACCTTCTGGGCGAGCTGTATCCTGCCCTCCAGGACCTTCATCTCCTCTTCAGCAGCCTCCAGGTGATGTTCCTTCTCCTTCAGTTGCGCCATAAGAATGTGATGCTCCATGCTGAACCCAGCTAGATCGTCTCCATAGCGCTTAATGGCCTCCTCCGTTGCTTCGATGTCTCTGCCGATTACGTCTGCCTGTACTTTGAGTGGATGGTAGTCCTTGTACACTCTAACATATTTCTCAAATGTATGTAACCAACTGAGAAAAGTTGCTGTTGTTAAAGATTCCTTTGCAACTTTGTCAATGTTTAATTCATCCATTTTCAGGTAGGACTGGATCCTTGAAAGAATTTTTTCATTTGTGTCCTCGACGGAAAGTTTTCTAATAGACGATACAAAATTTAATCCATTTGACATTTGTTTTTTAGCTTCGTTCCACGATGGATCTAACCCAAGCGTTGTAAGCACAGCATCGAATACTAATTCTAAACATTTTGGTGGCCTTCCAAGGCTCTTCAGACTTTCGAATTCTGCTTTAGTAATACGATCCAACTTGCGATGAATGGCTCTCATTTCTAGCTTAGGGGCAGTAAGGTCACGGCTGATGAGTTCTCCTATTCTGGTTGACTCGTCCTTCTGTCTCTTCAGCAGCACAGCATTCTTGGCCAGGTCCTGCTCCAGCCTTCCCTGCTCAGACTTGATGTTTCTCATCTTGAGGACAACACCCCCACAAGACTGCTGGATGTAGGTCACCTGTGCCCGCTGCTCCTCCAGCTGTTTTGAGAGTTCTGTCACCCGCTTCTGAGTGTCTTCATACTTCACAATACTTATTTTGAGTCTTTCCTTGTCTTTAACGATATCACTAAGCAGCTTGTTATGCACTTGTAGAAACACTGTGACAAATTCTAAAAATCTTGCAGAAGGGTTCGATCCTGTGTTGCAGTGTATGAAAGCCATTACTTCTGACACAGCTTGGGCTTTTATCTCTGCGATATTTTCGTCTAGAGATTCCATAAGAATTTGCTTTCCGATGCTTTGTAGGTCCTCCTCACACCATTTATGGAAAGTGTCAACACTGTAGAAAGCTGAAACAGCAGGTAAGTATTTCATGATCTCATGAGCTTCTTCCAAGGCTGGAACTGATATACAAACTTTGACGTTAGTTCGCCAGTCTTTTGCCTTGTCTGTATATTGTTGTTCTACAAGTAAATCATTCAAAAATTTCAAATTCCTAGCATTTTCCAAAATATTCCAGTCAACTATTGCAAGAACTGGGATGTCCATCTCTAAATCTGTGATGATATTTTTAGTTTGGACTGTTGCTTCAGTTTCAGTTCCAATAACGTCATAGATTTTGTAGCCAGCAACCGAGGCTGCGAGACGCCCACATGTTTTCTTCCCACAGCCCTCAGGACCAACCAGTATTAGGTGGCCCCCAATACCCTCTGGCACTGCTGAAGAGCACGTGTCCTCCGTAGGCCTTCCTCCCCTGGCACCGTGACATTCTAGAATTCTCAGAAGACGAACAGTATGGTGAACGAGGCTGTTGTGGATTGCGAACATTTTATTTTCGCCAACAAGAGCCTTTCCAGCGCTTTGTAGAATCGGTCGTAGCTTCTCTATATCTGAATCTTCGTAAAAGTTGTCGTTGTTGCCAAGCCGCGTCAGTAAAAACGAGGCGGGATCCGCACTGACGGCGTTGAGACTTATGCAGAGAAATTCTGAGAGAACTTGGTTCATTAAGCTGTCAAAGTCGGATGAAGGTAGAACGCCTAAATCATGGAACACTCTGTAACACTCATGGGTAAGATGTTTCAAGAAGTTGTCTCGATCTTGTGTTTCTTCATCTGCTAGTTGAAGACCCTTCAGCACTGATACTATTTGTCGAGGATGATGGATGAGAGGCAGATGATCTCCACACACAGTCTGGCTCTTCTCTCCCATGCGTTGATAGAGGTAAATAATTCCTTCAGCTACCACGGACTTTAAACATTTCACTTCCTGTTCAAAATGTCCAAGAGTTTTATCATACAGCTGACTGAAGATTGCTTCCAACTCTTCATTCCCCAAATCTGACATTGTCAGAATGTGAAGCGACTCCGGCCAGTAAGTTTCAACATGGTCTTTTATCTCTTGCGTTTTTTCTTGACCAAAGTCACAATCTGTCGCTTGAAAAGTAAACATGTAACATATTTCTGGAATCTTAAGAAAGGTCATGCTCTCATGGCTATACAGTTTCCGATTATTTGCAGTGAACTTTACTGTCGCCAGAATTTCATGTAAATGTCTGTCTCCGTCAGTACAATGAAGATCATCAATCAACAAATGTAACTTAGATTTTTTACAGGCAAGAACATTCTTACCTTGCTTAATAAGACTGTTTTCAATAGTGCTTTGAATATCCTTAGCATGAGTACACGCTGTTTGGCTGAGTACCATCACCTCTTTCGTGGGATCGGGAGTCTGTCTTAATACATTAATAATGGTAGTTTTACCTGATCCAGGAACACCTTTGAGAAGAACAGGAATACCCTCAGCCATTAACATTTGGGCTATCTTTGAGAATTTAATAATTCTGTTCGTGGGAATGACACTATATTCAATTACTGGAATGCGCAGAGGAAGTTCTTCTAAACTTGGTGCTAGTTTGTTCCATGGGGCAAAGTGTCCAGTGGATATATCTACATAGTAGTCATAAATGCCGCCCTCCGGAACGTCCTCGATCATCCTTGTCACCACCTCCTGGAACTCTGCAGCCTCTGCGGCGGAGATATCAGCCCCGAAAGACCAAATGATGCTGAATATGAACACTGGTGAAAGCCTAGCTACCCAATCCTCTGGATCGGCTTTAACTAGTTCAGTGTCCATAAAAGATTTCATGATAGCCACAAATGCCTTGGCTTTCATAATCATATGTGGCTTTGTGATAGTTTCCGAGTCGAGGATATTTATAAAGTTCGGAAGATTCTTCTTTATTAAGGTCTGCAGCGCTCGTGAGATCCTGTTATTTGTAATGGTAGCTCGCCAGCTCTGGATGATGTCCTCCCACAAATGGTGTTGTGGAGGGAAGAAGACGGCGTAGCAAGAGGTCAACTCGGCTGGGGAGAGGTGACTAATGTCTCCAGAGACCTCAAGCATAATCTTCAAGTTACTGGGAAGTGAGATTGTTTGTCGATGGCCAGTGAGGAAATTATTGTTTGTGAAATGCACGTGATGAAAGAAGTTCTTGAGCCAGCAATGTTTTCGAGGTCCTTCCAAGATGAGCCAGTTTTCAGAGGCAAGGTCAGATTTCTGTAGTCTCCTGATCGCATGAGGAAGGTATCCCTCACCCGCCTTCACCGCTACTTCTTCACCAGGACCGTACAGTACGTCATGCTCAAGTATCAGAGGATTGAGTACGGCCATCTTGGTAGGTTTGAAGCTTGCGTTTTTTTCATCGTTAAGTCTGTTGATCGTCTTTTCAAGCATCTTCAGTGCTGTGGATTTCCCTGAACCAGAATTTCCAAATAGTAAAACAAATTGGTTTTTGGAAATAGCCTCATGTAATTTAAGAACTTTCTCGATAAAATAGTCTTTGACAATTAAATTATTCTCCTTCATTTCTATTACTAGAGCTTCTTTCAGTACATCGTTGGCCGGAGATACAGCGTCGAAATCTGGGAACAGCAGCTCAAACACCTCCTTGAACACTGGCAAGTCATTATCTTTCAGCTGCGGCATTAAGTACTCTCTCAAGGCGAGAGGAACGGTGTCAATTTCGTCAATTTCAGGCATCCTCTTCATGATGTCCTTGGCCAGGGCGACGATAGCGGAGGGACTCCTGGTGCTCAGGTGCCACCGGTAGCGGGTAGGGAGCGCCGTGGCCAAGCTCTCTACAGCCTCGCTCACCTTTACCGACAGAGTCCGGAACTCCTTGAAGCCTTCCACCAGCATCACACACTCCGTTATCACCTGTTTGGCCACATGCATGTCTAATATTAATCAAATGTTAATAATGGTTAGTCATTTGGTGGTCAATTTATGATTATATATATATGGGGTACCACCTCTGGTTGCATTTGTAGGGACCCTCAACCTCGAAGAAGACGATATGTAGCATCCGGGTAAACCTTGGTGACACCCGTGTACACTCACACATTGTCTTCTCCTACTACCCCCACCCCCTATATTTTTTGTATTTTGTCATTTTATTTTATGTAAAACTTCTTTATACAAAAAAGGTTACAACATTGGGTACGACGCATCCATATATTATATTATATATATATATATATATATATATATATATATATATATATATATATATATACAATAAAGGTGAAAACATGGGGGGATACATAAGGGATAAATGTGAGGTGAAACATAGAGGCTGCAGAAGGCTTATTGGCCCATACGAGGCATATATATATGTGTGTGTGTGTGTGTGTGTGTGTGTGTGTGTGTGTGTGTGTGTGTGTGTGTGTGTGTGTGTGTGTGTGTGTGTGTGTGTGTGTGTGTGTATGTGTGTGTGTGTATCGCAAAATATTGTATACTGTATATATTTAAATTTACACACACATCAAGCAAGTTGATAAATTAAAGAAAAATTGGGGTAACATTGTTTATTAAACTGCTTACCTGTAAATCCGGAGGAAAGATGACAACAGGCTTACACTGTTGCTTCAGTATGTCCATTGTCTTGAGAGAAGAAGGGTGGCTGGGTACCATCTCGAGAAGAACAGCAGCCAGAGGGGACACAGCCATTTCCACCCCTTCCAGAATCTTGGTTGGTGGTTGGTGCAGCTTGCTGCCCCTCGTCCCCCCACCACCACCAGCCTTAGCTCCTGCTGCAGCGGTCACCACTCGTTGGGCGTCTTGCACCACCCGGAGCATCTCCCCGAGAACTGGCACAACATCGAGATCGAGGTGGTGAGCGTCCTCTAGCAGTAGCCAAGAGTGAGATTGGCAGGTTCCTAAGAGGTACTGCACCAGTTGAACAGAAGTGAGGGTAGGAGTGCAGGCTATTATGACCAGGTGGCGACCATGAAGTTGAGCCATCGTCTTAATAGTCTCTGTTTTCCCACAGTCGTCAGAACCCAGCACGCCAACAGCCACGCCCCGAGACAGTACTCTTGAGAGGTTAAGAATGGAGCGAGTCATGGATGGAGTAAATGCAGCAAAGGACCACAATCCCTGATATTCCCACGAGTAAGTCAAGTTAATGGCTCCGATCTGCAGGAACATGTTGTCGGAATCTTTATCCCAGGTGTATCGTAGCAGCATTTCGTTCTCACTCGAGAGACCTTTCCTGCTTTCAGACGCCGAGGTGAGGAAGTCTCTCATCTGGAGAACTGTGAGATAAAACAAGCGAATTTTCTCTCGCATGAGCTTGGATAAGTTTCCCTGCAGACTGCCGTCGAGCCTCAGCTGTGAGTCCCTCGCTTTCTTTTTAAATACTTGGAGATGATCTGAATTTAAATGCCCTTTAAATTTAGCCAGAGCTCGACTTATTTCTACTGTCCAGTGCATGACAAAAGCGATTACAGTGACCTGGATGGGCCATAGTTTTACAATATCATCTACTTTCATCGTAACAGACTTCATGCTCTTTCTACACTGCTTCACGTTATCTTTAAGTGTTGCTTCTATGCCAGAAGAGAGGTTCTTGAGCCAGGAGTCAAAAGAACCAAGAATGGGAATGTAAGAATTTAGTTCGAGGAATTCGCCCTCTTTAGAATATACTCCGATAATTTCCAGTGCTCCTAAGTGACTATTTTTTTCCTGCTTTATTTTGGCTACATTTGTAAATAACTTCGACAGAAATGGCTTTGCATGTTGTCCGTCCAACACAGTAGATATGGCTGAGACAAGGTCGTCATCAGACAAAAGCCAAAATCGTGAATATTGCTCTTTTCGGTCTTGAAGATAAGGCTTGACGTGTTGAGCGATGTTGTTAAACTCTTCCGACAAAAACTTGACTTCCTCTTGGAGGTTCTCCTGAAGAGCAACAGCTTTCAGGAAGTGTTCTGAGGTCATGAGTGTCGATAACTTTCTCCAACGCTCGTTCAAAGAGTCGAAGATCGCTGTCGCTTGCATCAGGTGAAGCCTCACGTCTGCCACGTGAAAGAAAGGCTCCCACATGGCCCACTTCTTTTGCAGCGCCTCTACATTTTCAAGGAAATTTATCATAGATGAGAGCATAGAGCGAATATCCTCAATGTCTGCTATATATGGTCTGGCATGGTGTGAGGCAGACAGTATCTGCAGCCTCATATTCAGTTCTGCAATAGTTGAGTTTGCTTCCACTGTAGATTCGACCACAGACACGCCCATGGAGGCAATGGGCTTAAGGCTGAGAGTTATCTGCGAGGCCAGGTGTCTTATATCTTGGATGTCATTAACAATCTTCGTCTCTTCTGTTGAATCTATCATGATGGCAGTCATTTCTTTTTTGTATGATGTTAAATTGAGCTTCTGGAGGAACCCAAGAGTGAACGCTTCTGAATCTTTATCAAATTCCGTCTTGACGAGAGACTTTATCTGAGACCAGTGATGGTCTTTAAGATTGGCGTTTTGTAGATTTAGCGTAAGAGGCACTAAAAGCTTGCATAATTCTATTCTAGATAAAATTTCCTCCTTAAACTCCCATTCACTCTCTCCCAGAGCAGATCTGTCCTCAAAGTCGCCTTCAGCACAAGCAGCAAAAGGCTGTATTGCCCTTATTTTGTGACCATAAGTAGATAACGTGTCCTGAAGTGCAACCGCACTTACTTCCCAAACAACTATTGCCGCCCAAGTGTCCCAGGTCTTCTGCCACTCCTCCACTAGTTTCCACATTTTCTCTACGGACACAAGGTCATGCTGAAAGGCTGCGAGTTCCAGAAATTCAATCACTGGAAGTGACAGGAGCTCCAAAGTCTCGTTAATAACCAACTTATTGACAATGTCTCTCATCATACAGTTTAGCTTTCCAATGTTTTCAGTTGCCTCTAAAACCGTTTTGTCACATCTAGTCGGCAGCATTTGCCTGAACTGCACCTTAAGACCCTCAACTTCTTCCATGACTAATTCTGAGCGGTCGGTGTATGCCTTCCTGTAGGTATCGAGTGCCGTGTTCAGCTCAAGTATCTTGTTAGTTAGCGAGGACTCCACAGCGTCCCATTCGTCCTCCAACTGAGCTAAACGTTTGTTTACACTCGAAGGGAACTTGTAATGATACTTTTTTAATACCTCGAACTGCTCTCGGACAGGCTCGAACTCATTCCTGTAATTCATTAGTTGCTGTCTCGCTAAATGACATTCCTCAGCAGAAGAGAGAAGAGAAGGTATGGCTTGTGGATTGCTTGTGAGTAAGACTCTTGTTTCTTTGCTATAAGTGTACAATGATTCCAGTTTATGTGAGGCTATCTTATAAAGATTGTCTTCGAACTCTGATATCCAAGACCTGCAAAGTTTAATGAGCTGTTTCTTCAACTTTACAGAATTGATGTAGAATGTCCCAACTTTCAAATGATCGTCAACATTTTCGATTTCTCTCACTTTCTTTTCAAATGTCATAATATCCGTCTCGAACACATAGACAGACTTGGCACTTTTGAGGTAGTGTTCGAAGAATTCTTTTCTATTCACCTCCCACAAATCGCGGTACTCCTGCCACTGCTCCAATTTATCTTTCAAGTTATCTACTTGCATCTGGAACTCAACCGACAACTTTTTCTGTAGCTTATCACAAAGTTCGTCATCGAGAGTTTCCAAATGGTTGTGAGCTTTAGCCTTTTCAAGAGCAAAGCGCCGAAGAAGACATGGTATTTTTACCAGACTCTCGGAAAACTGAGTTTTAAGGGAATTCACAATTTTTAGTAATCGATTTACTGAGGGCTTGCATACGATTTTGGTGTTTGTGAGACTAATTGAAAGCTTAAAAACCGAGGCAAGTTGTTCTGTAGGGCAACTTCTGGAGCCCATTAACATCCCCTCAAATGACAAGAGAGATTTCCTCAAAATTTCTTTCTGGCAGTCCAAGAGGAGATTGTCAATTCTTAACACATATGCAAACCACGCCTCCTCAGACTTGGCGATGGATCTGTTTATTAACTTCTTGTACAAGGTATCCAGTATATCTTCCATTTGAAGAAACTCCGTCTTCACAATATTAATTGTGGTGTCGAGCTGGTTAATAAGGTCTTCCTGAAATTCGTCGTTCTGGTAGACCTTTTCGCCATCGTTGGTGTATAGAGCCAATTCTTTAGTTTTCATGAGAATGCTTGAGAGATTCTGGTTGACATTCAAGTACTGGGTGACTTGGTCTTGCACTGTGCGCACTATGATGTTGCATTTGGCCAGAAGGGCGCCCGTCTGCTGCCGTTGCATCCAGCTAATGGAGCAGAGGCCGGGAAAGAAGGCCTTCACCGTCTTCTGTATTTGGCCCTCAAACATCTGTGCCTCATCGCGAGACATTCTTGTCATGAAGGTGTTAAAACCAACAGCACATTCGGACACCTGGTAAAAGAGCAAGTTACTCTACTCTCTGCTACAGTCTGGAGATATTCTTACAACTATGTTTGGTCTACTTAACGTGAGAGTTCTCATTAAACATGCATCGTACTATTAACGCATCTAACTACTATCGTACAACCCAACGTACTTTCGTACTTTGGGATGAATTAAACATGTCATTGTTACTTACTTTTACAGTCACTCAAAGATCAAACTAATTTAGTTAACGTAATATACTGCATTATGAAAGTCCAGTAATTACAATGAACATTACTATAATTAATAGTGACTGTTGTCGAATGTTTTAACTTGAGCCATAAATGTTTACGAATATTTTAATACGCTACCTGTTTTTTCATGTCCATGTAGACGTTATTATCCACGAAGATGGGATTGATGCTCTCAGGGACGTCAAACCCCATGGCCTTCCACGCTGCAGCCTCTTCCAGGTTCTTGTATAGCTGCCTGCACATATAAACTTATGTACTGCTGAGATAGTAACCTCCTGATGTGTTCCTCTTACAACTGGACGCAACACATGCAAATTATATGCAATATCATGCCTAGCATTAAATATTCCCAAACAGAGGTTTGGTTAAGGCCAAATTGACGCCATCTTCAATTAACTAGAATTAATATCGCCGCGTGAACTTCGTGACATGAAAGATTATTACTATGATCTAAAACCTAAGATATAAATCTGAAGACTTCTGGGATTCCACAAAAAGAGTTGTGGCATGTCTGGGAGAACAGAGCGTGGGATGGCGTTCAACTCCCCAGTTGATCCTAAGACGAACGTCTGGATTTTCTTGCTTAGGAGCCTGGTCCACTCACCAACAGATTAAGCTTAGCGCAAAATACTGTGACTCGCTTAGGCATCATAGGTCATCTTTGATAGACCTCCACACACATCCTGCTCACAGCACTGAGTTGGGAGGCGACACTGAGTTCAGAGGCTTACAGGAGTTGTAGAAGCGGTTCGATTTAACAAACGCATACTTGCTGGTTGGTCAACAGATTCTTGTAAAGTAAAGTAATTATGAGGAGAAAGCCCAAGCCTATAGGACAAGCATTTTGAAGGGGGATATGCGCACGAGGAGCTGGGATAGGATTGAAGGTAGGAAATTATCCAACCACTTGGACTATCAGGGCTCAAACACGGACTTGAAAGAAGCAAAACCTCCGCTCAACTGACGAGTCTAAGTGATTGGGCTCCTGTAGTGGCCTTAATAACTTCACGAATATTTAGCTTTAAGCTCAAAGCAAATGGTTAACGAGACATAATAACCCCCACAAAATGATCACTCCCTCGCGACGCAGTGAGCAGACGCAGAGTTGTGGACGCAGACATCCGAGCCACACAGTGAAAGATATTAATGCACCGAATAATATACACTATAAACGACCAATTAAGGAGGAGGAGGACGTGCCGTGGTGCCATGAGGTCGGGGCGAGGCCGGGGAGGGCGGGAGGAAGCTGCACCCTCGGCTGGCTGCTCTGTGTAAGCTGTGTCCAGCAATAATATGTTTATTCTTATTAGTGATAAATCTTTAAGAATTAGTGAGAGAGAGAGAGAGAGAGAGAGAGAGAGAGAGAGAGAGAGAGAGAGAGAGAGAGAGAGAGAGAGAGAGAGAGAGAGAGAGAGAGAGAGAGAGAGAGAGAGAGAGAGAGAGAGATATTATAAATATATATTATATTGCATATGAATGTATTTATGTACGTATGTGTATATGTGAAAGCTGGTCAGAATTGCATTTGACCTTAGTAAACGCACATTAATCACTTTATGTGTAAAAGACCATACCTCGAACACTGTTTATATAAGACAGACGTAAATGTATATGTTCAATATTTATGTATGTTGCTTAGCATTGTAAAAACACTACAATCACTTACAGTGGTTGGTCAATAAATCACTGAACTATATAATGTCTAACAGATCTCTAACCCTGTCCACGGAGGTTATCTTGAGAAGATTTCGGGACTTAGTGTCCCCGAGGCCCGGTCCTCGACCAGGCCAGAAGTAGAGGACAGAAGAAAATGTATATACATGTTGAAAAGCATTGTAAATGTTGGCCACGTCTAAGGTAGAATATAATAAATACAAAAACATACTTTTGAAGAGTGACACCTTTTGTGCACTAAAGTAATGCAGCATCCTCTGCTGCTACCAGTGTTGCTTCTCTCAGCTATCCTGGCCACAAAGTAAATATATCAACTGCTAAGCTTCCTTACACATTCACTGCGTCTTCCGCACAAACAACTCACATATCAAACACACACAGAGATCACACTAACGTGATGCATCAAATGAACAAATCCATTTGTGGATTTGTTCAACTCACATATCAAAGTTGTCCTGGAGAGTCTGGACGGGCCCCGGCCGCCACCTGAAGATGGGCTCCAGGAGGCGTCTGTTAGGGTTGGGTTCCAGCGAGGCGTTCCAGGCAGCGTACATGTTGGAGACGACGCCCTTGAGTAGCGACACCGTCCTGCTCCACCGCTCATAGATGGAGTCCAGCCTGGGGTAGTAAGGCAGCCACGACTGGTTCTTCAAGAGCTGAGGATACACGGTGAAGGAACCTTTCTCATCTCCACAATGAAAGCATTAAAACGTGATCAATCTATGAGAAAATCTTCGGAGCCGGACAGCGAGATCAAACCTGCATCTCAAGGCACTAACTTGTGAGTACATTGCGGTTCATTGGTAAGGCGTGCGTCTGGGGTGGCCCAGGACGCTTGTTCCATCTCCTTGTCCTTCTCCAAATACGTTTCTCCCTCTCGGCTCCCTGTATCTAAGATTTCCACCTAGCTCGTCAGCCAGGTGTTATGTCTTTCGCTTATTATTGTTTACAAGTATACTATGTTTTGTTTTTATATTAATTGTATCGTGTAATTTGTACATCCTCTACATCATACATTCCTATGCTTAAAATGTGCATTAGTGATACGTAACTTTCTTTCGTTTTATAAATCTTTAAATAAATCTACAGCCACTGTTGTTTATACATGGGACAACATTTGTTGTGTTATTTTCAATGCCTATTCCAAATTTACAATTCAAATCATCTAATATTATTAAGAGGTATTTTCATGGGGTCATACTAATCTCCTTCTCTAAATTATTCCCCCAAAACATCCTTTTCATTCTCACTGCTCGCATCACACAGAGAACTTGTAAATCACAACCTCTACTTTTTACACATTTACACTATAGTTTCATTCACACACTTTCAACCCCAACACGAAAAGTCATTCACTGACACCTCTCTTGATTATTAAACAGTCATACACCTTCTATATTTCTTTCATTTCCCCTCACTATCAATATATACACTTTGTACAATTTTCGTCTTTCATGCTCACTTTTTATTCAGCTTTGTCTCACATAAACCTTGAAGAATATTTTTTCTTCTTTAAAAGCTTTCCTAACTTCCGAATGTTTTTGTACCTCATTTATTTCTATAACATTTCACATAGTCAGGCAAGAATGCCTTTTTTTTTAAGGGGACCTGTGTAGACGGGGGCCCAAGACTCAAGAATAAATGTTCTGTGTACTGCGGGTGCAGTCTGTGTACTGGGGGTGCAGTCTGTGTACTGGGGGTGCAGTCTGTGTACTGGGGGTGCAGTCTGTGTACTGGGGGTGCAGTCTGTGTACTGGGATGCATTTGGGAAGATCTTTCCGGGGAAAATCCTCATTCTGATTATTTGCAGGGTACACAGGGCTGGTTATGGATCTTTAGATCCAGATGGATCTTTAGTAATAATCGTGACAAGAAAATTGAGTAATAATCGTGACAGGATAATAATAATTTTCGTGACAGGAAAATCTTTAGTAATAATCGTGACAGGAAAATTGCACTCACCTGTCACTAAACCTTCTAGCAAGCGTATGAGTCGTCTCACTATCACTGTCAAGCACGTTTAACTCACGTTTCTCTACGTGATATAACGTTTCATAACTCACGTTTACTTCATGTTCAAGCTTTTTGCGGGTATCTGCGGCCCACTTAGCCATCTTGGAGTAGTAGAAGCCGTCGCCTCCGACCTTCATCGAGCGGAACACGTACTCCTTCTCTACCTCCTGGAAGTCACGTTCGAACAGGTTCAGGATCTGTATAAAACAAAACAAAAATCAAGATAATTTGACAGGCGTATGTTTTGTTCCGAGTTCATTGTTGTTTAACGACTGGGGAGCATATATATAATTATATTTTTTTAACATGGGTACCACTGCGAGCAGCCGCGTCCAACAGCCTGGTTGATCAGTCCAGCAACCAGGACGCCTGGTCGACCACCGGGCCGCGGGGACGCTAAGCCCCGGAAGCATCTCAAGGTAACCTCAAGGTAACCACCTCTGGTGCAACTGAAGGGACCCACAGCCTCGAAGAAGAAAATAAAGAGTGTTCAGAGAATACCTTGTGGATTTTCACTGACACTTTAAACTTTTCTTCTCCTACCACCCCTGTTCTTTTTTATTAATTTTGTTATATTTTTTTTTATTACATTGCTACAGTTTACAGAGAACACACACATATATAACAATATAACAATCTAACAATCAGTGTTCGAAGACCTCGTCCAGCTCTTCGGGGGTCGGGTGCGTACCCAGGATAAAGAACGTATTTCCCCGCTTAACTGCAACACTGAGGCGCTGCAACAGGAAACTGGCCGCTCTTGAGTCTACAGTTTTCCCAATGAGGTCTTCACCCACCTCCTTTAGGAACTTAAGTGCACATTTACCCCAGGCGCCCAGAGTCTCAGAGCCTATCGGCACGAACCTGTAATACCGTTCTAGGTCCCTATATTTGTTAGTTACTGGGTCTCCCTGAAGGTGGCTGCCCCACCTCCCTCAACTGTGCTGTAAGGTAGATTGGTATCAGCCAATGTAGATGCACACGTGTAATCCCATACGACCTGTTTACCTTCCCTCCATGGCTGCAGGGTGACTCCATCTGGGCATTTTTTTCTATCTTGAAACG